CGTAAATAAAAAGAGAAATATGAATTAATATTGAAACATAATGATGACACCTGAAGCAATCAACGGAAAATAAACCATAAATAGCAGTTGAAACGCAGCTGCACTCAATACAGATGTATGTAGATGTATATATATATATATATATATATGTATATATATATATGTATATATATGTGTATATAAATATGTATATATTTATGTATATATATTTATGTATATATATATGTATATATACACTGCGTGCCAAATTATTATCGAGATAACCTATTTTCTAATATTTCAAAAACCGTCCAATCAATTCACAGAAAATTTTCACACAATGTTGGCAACACTCACCTGCGCAATCACTGAAATTTCCGTACTGATCTGCGCAATGTAAACAAACTGGCACCATATTTGTTATCAGCACGGTGATTTGAGCGCGATCAGTACGAAATTTTAGACCAGTTTATATATATATTTTGCTGTTTACATCTATTTTGTAATCACGACAAATGCACAGGTCCTCCGCCTTCTTTCTTAAAATTACTAATGGTGAGGTCCATTTGCTTCTCCCTGGCGGAACTCGTTCAAGTAGATCTTGTTCCAGTAATTTTTTTTTACTATTGGTAGTAGATGGACTGGCACTTTTCGTGCTTGAAAATATGAGTGGAAGACATTTTCTTTTAGTCTTCATAGTTTTTTAACATTCCAGTTTCTTTAGCTTTAACTTTATCAATTTTACAAGATTTATGTTCAATACATCATTTCCTAGTAGACCATGATTCTTTGCCATGATAATTGGTAATACGTCAAAATTATTTTCTTAGTTCCATATAGGATTCAAAATAGCCTATCGTTTTTATCCCGGACTAGTGGAGCTGATTCAATTGGACAAGGCTTTTATTTAATCTTAGTTTTCCTAATTCCTACCAGAAATTTCAGGGTATCAACGATACGCCACTTCCCGTATCTAGTTGCATGTTCAATAAAACATCATTGATTCAAATTTTTAATAGCCATTTGTCATTTTATTTCGGTAAAAAGACGTCAATGCTTATTCCCTTGTCATCTACATTTTTCTTTTTGGATTTACTGATCCAATTGAATTTAATCTTGGTTTTCCTAATTCCTACCAGAAATTTCTGGGTATCAACGTCACGCCACTTTCCGTATCTAGTTGCATGTTCAATAAAACATCATTGATTCGAATTTTTACTATCCATTTTTTTTTTCGGTGAAAAGATGTCTATGCTTATTTCCTTTTCATTATGTTGGACCGTCTCTACGTTTTTCTTTTTGGATTTACTGATCCAATTGAATTTAATCTTGGTTTTCCTAATTTCTTCCAGAAATTTCTGGGTATCAATCACGTCACTTCCCGTATCTAGTTATAAATATCATTGATTCGAATTTTTAATCATCCTCTTCAATTTTGTTTTCCATGAAGAGGAAATGATTATGGACGTCTGTTTATGCTTATTTCCTCTTTATATAAACACATTCAATAACTGGTTCATTTACTTTTTGAGAAATATTCATAAACTTAGCTCACTTTGAATTTACTTTTTTGGGGGGGGCGGGGTTATATTTTTCACTGTTATTTGACTTATATTGTCAAAAATTGTATCTTCCAACTGTCTTGGCTGTGCAATTGCTGATAATTTTAGAATGGCCTCACAAAAAGCAGTTGACAAGAAGTGATCCGTTATTTAATTTTCTCCTCCGACTGATCTTAAATCCTTTAGCATTTTTGTTTTAGATTTAGCTGCTTGTATCCTAAACCACGCTTGTGCGTAATCATAATTATCCAAAAATGATTGTTCGTTCGATTCTTTAGATATCGGCGAAGCTATTGTAGTGTCACTGAATCACGGGAAGTAGTATAGACTCAACTGCCTCATGGGTAATAGCTGTAGTTACTTATAGTCTTTGTGGATTCATATGTAAATGAGTCACCTAACCTGGAAAAGTATGAATCCGTTTTTTCTTCCCCCGAGATATGGGTTAATAAGTAAAAGTTGTATTAGTAAATGATTATTATATCCCCCCCCCAAATTGTTATACTAGAAAAATATTTTTGGCTTTAAATAACTCGCAAAAGGTTTATAAACCGTAGAAATCAAATCAATCATTTTATATTAATAAAGGATCTTATTACTTGTTAAGTAATGACCATGTAATGACAATCTGAGTAGTTGTAATGTAATGAAAAACAACAAAGATAAAGATCAAAGAAGACTAGTAAAAAAATGGACCGAACATGCGAGCAACAATGAAATTTTAGAGAAAATGGAAACAAAAAGGAAACTTATAATTAACATCAGAAAGAGACAGTTAAAATTTCTAGGACATATAACGAGAAAAGAGGGCTTAGAAAATTTGACACTCATAGGAGAGACTGATTTTATTCCTTTTATATATATATATATATATATATATATATATACACACACAGAGAGTCTTGAGCTATTATACAATATACAATAGCCTTGAAGCTACTCCCTCTCATGAATAGAGATGCACTGTGCATCAGCTTCTGGTGGACATAGTGTAATGTAGGAGCGGACAAGGAAATCATGTCATCCTATGTCATCCTTCAGGAAGTGTCTTCTCACAAAAATTGATTTTCCCAGACAGGGGGCTCAGGGTTGGACATTGGGAATCTGAGGACAACAATACAGGACCGAACAGTGCGCTAAAGCGATTGTCAGTAGAGTTCCCACAAACCATCGAGGAGTTCCAGGGATGATGATGATAATGATGATGATGATGATGATGATGAATTTGCATGTTTAACCTATTAATGTCAGGCAAGGGATCAGCAAATTTGTGGTATTATATATTGTGGTATATATTTACAGTAGCCAATATTAATTCACCAAAAAAAAGCATGTTCATATTAAGTGAAGATCAGAAGTCATGAGAGCTATATCTGGTGTAGACTTAGGCGTTTATTATTATTATTATTATTATTAGTAGTAGTAGTAGTAAGAGTACTACCAGTAGTAGTAATAGTAGTAGTACTTCCTGTTTTTTCTTCGCTTGTTCATGTGGAAACAAAAAGAGCCTTATACTTAACATCAGAAAGTTACAGTTGAAATTTCTAAGGCACATAATGAGGAAAGAGAGCTTGGAAAACTTGACAAGACAGATTTTCACGGTTTAAATTCACCTTTATCTTTCCCTGAGACTGAGAGAAGACGGCCCAGTTTATCCTGTTTCTTCCTCTTCTTCTTCTTCTTCTTCTTTGTACCTTGTCTCTTTAGCACGTGAGCGAGTATGGCTCTTCACAAGTTCCTATTCATTGTAGTTAAGCGTTATCTTTTCCTTATCTCTCCTATTCCTCTGTTCTGCCAAGCATTTGTACATTCTCGTTAAGTAAGTTATTTACTGCTTCACCAAAACAAAGCATGTTCATATTAACAATTCCAATCAGTAAAGATCAGAAGTCATGAGAGCTATATAGGGTGTAGACTTAGGGCGTTTATTATTATTATTATTATTATTATTATTATTAGTAGTAGTAGTAGTATTAGTAGTAATAGTAGTAGTAGTAGTAGTACTTACTGATATTTTTTTCTCAAAATTCTCAAGGACACATGGCACAGTGGATAAAGGCGTTAGTTAGATCCAGTGACAGGACCTAAAGAGTGTGAGTTTCATACCCGGTTAAGGCAGTGGAGAATTTCCAGAGGGAAATTAACAGGAGATAACTGACATCCATTAAACATGGCACGTGGAACTAGAACAGTCTACCCCAGTTAGCGAAATAAAGGGTTCAGTTCGACATTCCAACCACCTGAAGAAGGCCGGGGCGTACAAAAACCGAAACGTTGTAATAAATATGGCAACAAAAATGACAATAGTCCGAATAATGAAAATAATGTACATAATACCTCATCTCAGAAATATAGACAGATACAAGCATTAGTAATTTATTTTACAAAAATGTATTGCTGGTGATTTTTTGTTCAGTTTTAAAAAAAATGTATTGCTGGTAATTTTTTTTACTATGAAAATGTATTCTTGGTATTTTTACTATAATTTTTTTATACTTTCATAGTGTTTTGAACCCAGTTTGCAGGTTAACTATTTGCCCATAGCTGGGACCCTTACAGATGATATCAATCCACGTCATGGTTGACCTGGAAACAATTAAGAGGTGGTTCCACGGTCCTTATAACATCCTTGTTGGGGGATGAAGGGATCCAACCAACGCTTTTATCCACTGGGCCATGTATAAGGGCATTTGCGCGTATGTGAATATAATGAACCTAACTGGAATTCGAACTCTGCTCTCCGACTGACAACGAGTCGTTAACGATTACACCACCCGTACATCAACACCTGGTATCCTCAAGCGGTCACCCATACATATACTGACCAGGCTCGACGTTGCTTAACTTCGATTATCGTGCGGGTGTTTCAACGTGATATGGCCGTAAGCCGGATGATTTCAGTTTTCCTCTTCATTCTACGTTCGTATAAACGCAGTCCGGAAAATCGAGGTACGGATGATGAGGAACGGACTTTACCGGGACAATATATTCTTGATGTATAACGAGTTTAACAGAGTACTGCACATGTCAAATGTGGAGGCGATTGTACTGCGCCAATTCATCAAGAAGACAAGATGAAAGGAAAACTTTTATTTATTTATTTTTTTTTGTTACCTGGGCTCGAACGCCGACCTCTGGCTCCGGTAGAAAATATGCAATAATTCAGGCAGGAGACAGTTTACTATGACTGTTTCATTTTGCTTGCAATTCTTTTTCGTCCTTTTTTTTACCGCTCACTTACGCACCCCGACCAACCACAAAAAGAAAGTGAGAGAGAACGAGAGGAAGAGTGGTGGGATATACTTTTGACCCTTTTGCAAGCAAACCCATTGAAATGATAATTTAGCGTGCACTATTTTGTAGGCGTAAGAATATATTACATTCGTCTCCATGTTATTTATTAGCTCGTTTGATTGTCATCTCAAAGTGGAAGTGTTTGGCGAAAATGATCTGTATGCCTTATGAAGGTAAGAGGTAACCAAAAAAAAAAAAAAAATGGCGCAAAAGAAGGTCAGAGAAGGAGAAGAATGAAAGATGGTAATTCCGTAAGAGAGTGAGTAAAGAAGAGGAAAAAGAAGAAAGAAATATGTGATAAACGTTTCTCGAATAGAAGACGACGACAATATGAAATTAAAATGAAGAAGAAACTTTGATGTAAGGAAGAGAGCTAACAAGAAGGAAAAGAAGAAGGAGAAGGAGGGGGAGGAGGAGGAGGAAACGAAGAAGAAGAAAAAGAAACTAAGGAAAGGGAAGGAGGAGGAGCAGAAGCAGTAGCAGGAGGAGGCGAAGATAAAAAGGATGATAGCAAAAAGGACTTCATTTCGGTATGCCTGGCGAAGAACGTGTTTAAAAAGAAGATGGGGAGGAAAAGGGAATGGAAGAGGTGACAAAGAGGAGAAAGAGAGGGGGAAGAAGAGAAGGGGAGGAGGAAAAGGGGATGGAAAAGGTGATAAGGAGGAAGGGAGAAAAAGAGAAGGTGGGAGTAAAAGGAGATTGAAAAAATGATAAGGAGGAGGAATAGGAGATGGAAGTGGTGATAAGGAGGAGGAAGAGAAGAGAAATAAGAGAAGTGGAAGTAAAGCTAACAGTGGTGGAGGGAGGAAATAACACCGGAAAATATAGAAGAAGAAAGGAAAAAAAAAGTTACAATGAGAGAAAGATCGGCAATAACTAAAAAGAAGGAAGAAGACGAAAAAGGAAAATAACAAGAAGAAAAAGTGGAGAATAAAAAGAAAACGAGAAAAAGAAGGAAAAGAACAAGGAGAGAGCGAGAGGAGAAAAAAAAGAAAGAAAATAACAAGAAAGAGGAAAAGAATAATTAGAAAGAAAGAGGAATAAGGAAAAGAACGAGAAGAAAAAGAGAAGGGTGAGAAAGAAAAGAATAAAATGAAGGAAAAGAAAAGCAAGAAAGATAGAAGAATAAGAAAGAAAAAGAAGAAGAGAGGAGGAGAAAAAAAGCAAGAAGAAAAAGAATGAGAGAAGAAGAAAGCGAGAAGAAAAGAAAAATAAGAAGGAGGAGGAGGAGAAGGAGAAGGAAATAACAAGAAAGAAGAATTAAAAGGAGAGAAGATGACGAAGAAGGAAAAGAACAAGAAGAAAAAGAGAAGGAAAAAGCACAAGAAGAAAGAGAGAAACAGGAAAAGAACAACAAGAAGAAGGAAAGGAAGAAGAAGAAAGGGAGAATAAAGAAAAGTAGTAGTAGTAGTAGTAGTAGTAGAAGAAGAAGAACAAGAAAGAAAAAAACAATTAGGAAGAGAGAAGACGAAAAAGGCGAAGAAGGAAAAGAAGAAGAAGAAAAAAAGAAGAATGAGAAGGAAAAGGAGAAGAGAGAAAAGAAAAATTAGAAAGAGAGAAGACGAAAAAGGCAAAGAAGAAAAGGAGAAGAAGAAGAAAGGAAAGAAGAAAATCAGAATATTAAGAAAATTTAACCGCAGTAGGTAATGCTAGAAGAAGAAGAAGAAGAAGAAGAAGAAGAAGAAGGGAAAAAGAGAATAATACAAAAAGTGAAAGAGGAGGAGGTGGATGAAGTGAATATAAAAAGGATGGGAGGCGGGTCGCAAAAACGACTCCATTTTGGTAGCGCTGACGAAGAACGTGTTTATGAAGATATTTCTGATACAACACAAACGCATTTAGAATGACGGGCTCTGAAATGGAATACTTTGCCATCTTTCATCTTTTCTTTTTAGTTTTTCGTTTTTGCTTTGCCTTACCTTCCAGCATTTCTTTTTCTGCTTTGTTTTCCCTCGTTCATCTATCCATCCCTGGGGACTCTGCGGTAGATGCCCTCGCGGTGACCAGTGCTTTGTCCACGTCGGCCTTTAGCTGGCTTTCTTCCGACTGGGGCGACAGACGTAGAAACAAAAGGTGAGTGAGGGCGTCGGGCGTCAGATTGGCCGCGCAGAATCAACTGACGAAACCAAATAACTCGGAGAAGAAAATGATGTCCCTCAGGTTGGTTATTCAAAACCAACAACACCTTCACCAGCTTCATCCTTCTCAGGATTGATTTATTTATTTAGCTTTTACTTTTATCTTTCTTCACTCCTTTTTTTCTTTCTTCAAGTTAGCTTTCTTTCTTTCTTTCTTTCTTTCTTTCTTTCTTTTGTTCATTCTTTCTTTCTTTCTACCTTTCATTGCTAACTTCATTTTCTCCTTTTCCTTTTTCATTCGATATGCACAGATATTTTTTAAAAGTGATCTCATAATTCTACGACTTTCCCACCTTCAATTCATTAATTTATTCTTTCTTTCTTTCTTTCTTTCTTTGTGCTTATCACTTTTTCCTTTTCCGTTCCACATTTGACACTATTGTGTTCTTTCTTTCTTATAATTTCTTTTTTTATCACATCCTATGACATGTTTTCTTTCTTTCTTTCTTTCTTTCTTTCTTTGTCCACATTTTCTCTTTCCTTTTGCTTTGTTTCTGAATCGACTATTCTTTCTTTCATTCTTTCTTTCTTATCGCACCTTTCTTTCTTATCACACTTTACCTTCTTTCTTTCTTTTACTATCCACCATTCTTTCTTTTTTTCTTTCTTTCTTTCTTTCTTTCTTTCTTAATATGTTTTTTCATTCACTCTTTTTATCACATTTTCTTTTTTCTCATCTTTCTTTCGCTCTTTTTTATCAAATTTTTCATTCTTTCTTTCTTTCTCTCTTTCTTATCACATTTTCTTTTTCTTTCTTTATTTCTCATCTTTCTTTCGTTCTTTCTTGTCACATTCTTTCTTTCTTTGTTTCTTTGTTTCTTTGTTTCTTTCTAAAATTTTTTACGTTCTCTCTCAAACAGCCTTTCTTTCTAAGCTCCCTCCCGACTCTTCTTCTCCATATTTCTTTTTACATTTCTTCCATTCCCCTACTCGTCCTACCATTCACCCGCCTTTCTTCATTCCTCTTCATTTCTTTTCATATTAATCCCTCGCCTTCCCAATCCACCCCCGCCATTTTTTCATAATTCTCCTCCCCGTTCCTCGCAATTGTTCTTCTTTTTTTATGCTTTTTCCTTACCCTAATCTTCACCGGGTAGGCAAGGACAGCCGTGAAAACAGGCTACATAGGTGGACAGGAAAAACGTTTCTGCTTTTGCTTGACCAAGCGTTTCTGCCGACATCGTGCCGCTTCCATCACTCAGCAAGAGGAATGCAAAAAAAAAAAAAAAAAAAAAAACTGTGTAAACATTAATCGTGTCTACCCAGGACGCTTCCACCAGAAACGCCGACCGACCCAACCTGGCAACGGGTAGAGAGATGTGACAATAACCGACCCTGCCGTGCTCTTTGAAGACAGTCAGACGTGAGCCAAGCTGACTAAACCTGGAACATTACACCAGAGGAATACACGAAGAAGAAGAAGAAGAAGAAGAAGAAAAAAAAAAAAAAACAATGACAAGAAACTCTAGCAGACTAAAAAGAAGTAACTAAATCGGAAATGGAAAGCGCATGCGTGAACACTCTCTCTCGTTCTCTCTTTTTCTCTCTCTCAAATACACACACATATATATATCCGTCAATAAATGTCAAATGTTTCCTTATAAGGAAAAGCTAAAAAATTACCATTATATATATATATATATATATATATATATATATATATATATATATATATATATATATATGAGGAAGGTTATTTGGGGATCTTAAAGCACGAAGTGCACCAGGTCTCTGTAATCAGCCCTTCAAAAAGTGTGGTTGGTTCTGCACAAAGTCTTCACCACTATAATCAAATCATATATGCTGGTGTCTGGCTGTCGGTTCCTTGAAACTGAGCCGCTTGACCCTCATATGTCGAATACGACGGGAGAGTCCACCATAGTAATGGTAGTTTTAGCCATTTTCTTATAAAGAAACATTTGGCATTTATTGACGGAGCAGCCCGTGTTGAAGTCGGTTGAAATTTACAAAGCCGTTTCCTTAAAACAATTTTTCAGGAAAATACCTTTCTCGACTCCAATAACTGTTATCGCTCTTTTCAATATGTATGTAGAGATACTTGATAAAGCCCATAGAAGAATCAGCAATATTATTGGTCCTGATCTGGCGTCTCGGCTTCAGTTATTTTCCCACTGCTGTAAATTCCCCCCGCTCTGCACTTATTTTCTATAAATACTTTCTTTCATGTTAATTGTTCGGGTAAACTCTTCACTATGGTACCTAGACTTTATGAATTTAAGCACAGTACTAGATAGATAGATAGATAGATAGATAGATAGATAGATAGATATAAACAGACTGAGATAGATAGATAGATAGATAGATAGATAGATATGAACAGACTGAGATAGATAGATGGACAGGCAGACAGATAGATATGAACAGATTGATATATATATATATATATATATATATATATATATATATATATATATTATAGATAACTAGACTCGTTTCGAAAAACCCTCGAATTTTGATTTGCTAATAATCAAATCAATCTCGAGAGAAAAAAAGGTTTTAAAAAAAGAAAGAGCTACAAACATGAACTTCTGCCGACAAAAAAATCGCACAGATACAGGTCTGAAGCCCAAAGAAAAAAACCCGATACGAGTAAACAACTAAGTAACAAACTAACAAAAGAGCTCAATACAACCGTAGAGCAGACCTAGATACACCTAGTGAGCCAGACAAACATACCTACTCGTCAGGGGAAGTAAGGCCTTACCTTCCCTGACGATCCGTTTAGTGAAACCTAGGTAGGTTTGTTTCACTAGGCTATATATCTATATATATATATATATATATATATATATATATATATATATATATATATATATATATGAACAAAAAAAAAAGAACACTGTATGTAAGGGATCTCTGAGTAAACGTGGGTGTCATAAATCAAATTACATTATCGCATCCATGGCCGGATTTATATGAATGTCCGTCTCCATGTTTGTATTTTTCCTTATATATAGTTTTTTTCTTTTCTCATTCTAATCTAAGGAAGCCATAAAGAGCAGAGATTCTCGGCGAAACGCGTCGTTTATAGATATTCCATTTTGTCTCATAATCACTTTTGTTTCGGATCCTTTGATAGATCCTATAAATTTCGGTTTTTTAATACTATTTTATGGTGTTTTCACGTAGATTTATGTATTCATATTTAGGTTGAAGTCTAATAGATAGATAGATAGATAGATAGATAGATAGATAGATAGATAGATGGACAGGCAGACAGATAGATGGATAGATAGATAGATAGATAGATAGATAGATAGATAGATAGATATGAACAGACTGAGATAGATAGATAGATAGATAGATAGATAGATAGATAGATAGATGGACAGGCAGACAGACAGACAGATAGATGGATAGATAGATAGATAGATAGATATGAACAGACTGAGATAGATGGATAGATAGATAGATAGATAGATATGAACAGACTGAGATAGATGGATAGATAGATAGATAGATAGATATGAACAGACTGAGATAGATGGATAGATAGATAGATAGATAGATATGAACAGACTGAGATAGATAGATAGATAGATAGATAGAGATAGATAGATAGATAGATAGATAGATATGAACAGACTGAGATAGATAGATAGATATGAAAATGCTGAAATCTGATAGGATCCTACAAAACGTGTTTCTGAACGGAAACAAAAAGGACAATTATACATAGTATCAAAAAGTTTAAATTTCTCGGACACATAATGAGGAAAGAGAGCTTGGAAAATCTGGCACTCACAAGGCATATTGAAGGCAAGAAAGGCAGTGGTAAACGGCGCTTAACCCACCTAACGGACTTGTGTAAATGGATGGCAGGATAGAGACTTAGAGGGAAATCAAAAAGACAAATGTAAATAAGAACTGCAAAGGGCAGGAAATTATGGAGAGCCATGATCGCTCACGTCCTGAAAGAATAACCGCACATAGAAGAGAAAGATTAAATCAGTTGCGCAATTGTGAATTTTTCAATTTCCTTTTTGTCCAGGACGGAATTCATAACTCTTTGGTTTTAGTCACTGGATCTAACAAACGTCTTTATCCATTGGACCATGTGTTCTTGAGTTCAATACCAAGCCACAGCAGTGGTGAATAAAAAAAAACAAAAAAAAACAAAAAAAAACTTGGAGAGTTGAGTTAAAGGGAAATAACTGAGACATCCAAAAGAGGCATGGTACGTGGAACTAGAACAATCTACCCCGGTGGACGAAATAAAGGGTTCGGTTCGAAATTCCAATCATCTGAAGAAGGCCGGAGCGTACAACGGCCGAAACGTTGTGAATATGCCAATGAAGATGAGGATAAAAGTCCCAATTATGTAAATAACACAAGAAAACCATAATTTCAAAAAATCCCCGAATTGTTAACCGATGTCCAATTTCTTTTCTCCCATTAATTGCTATCATTTTGCATTAAGTTTGTATTTCATTTATTTGAGATGAACGCTTCGCTTTCTCAAGAAAGAAATACTGTTTGAGGGAGAACGTGAGAATGTTTAGAAAGAAAGAAAGAAAGAAAGAAAGAAGGAAAGAAAGAAAAAGAGAAAGAAAGGACGAAGGATGCGAGAAGAAAGAGAAAGAAAGAAAGATGAGAAAGAAAGAAAGAAAAAAGAAAATGGGATGAGAAAGAGAGAATGAAAGAAAGAAGGTGGATGGTAACAGAAAGAAATAAAGTAAAGTTTGATAAGAAAGAAAGGTGCGATAAGAAAGAAAGAATGAAAGAAAGAGAAAATACGTGGATAAAGAAAGAAAGAAAATAGAAAACATGTCATAGGATGTGATAAAAAAAAGAAATTATAAGAAAGAAAGAACACAATAGTGTCAAATGTGGAACGGAAAAGGAAAAAGTGATAAGCACAAAGAAAGAAAGAAAGAAAGAAAGAACGAAAGAAAGAAAGAAAGAAAGAAAGAAAGAACGAAAGAAAGAAAGAAAGAAAGAAGGTTGCGATAAGAAAGAGAACGAAAGAAATATGGGAAATAAAGAAAGAAAAAAGAAAATGGGATGAGAAAGAGAGAATGAAAGAAAGAAAAGCGTATTAAGAAAGAAAGAAAGAAAGAAAGAAAGAAAGAAAGAAAGAAAGAAGAAAAATGTGATAAGAAAGAACAAAAGAAAGATGAGAGAAAGAAAAAAAAAGAAAATGTGACAAAAAAGAGAATGAAAGAAAAGCGTATTAAGAAAGAAAGAAAGAAAAGAAGAAGGTGGATAGTAAAAGAAAGAAAGAAGGTAAAGTTTGATAAGAAAGAAAGGTGCGATAAAAAAGAAAGAATGAAAAAAAGAATAGTCAATTCAGAAACAAAGCAAAAAGAAAGAGAAAAACGTGGATTAAGAAAGAAAGAATGAAAGAAAGAAAGTAGACAAAATGTCATGTGATAAAAAAATAAATTATAAGAAAGAAGGAACACAATATTGTCAAATGTAAAACGAAAAAGAAAAGAGTGATAAGCACAAAAAAGATCTTCGCTTTCTCAACATGTTTCAGTGTCATTTTCTCTTCCTAAAATTATAGCTTAGTAGCCATAACCGCAAAAATTTCATGGTTTTCCAATTTTAATTTTCTGGTGAATCTAAATTCTCAAGCGATGATGAAATAATTTTGTTGCGAGTTCCACATCAACAAAATATCTTTGGAAATTCCTCTACAACCCCATTGAATATCTGAACTGAACAACTTTGACAAAATGTTACAGTAACAATCGTAAATATTCTACGAAATAAGAGGGTACAAATTGAAAATTGACAAGGTTTTCCATTTCACTGAAGCAGATGTCAAACATGTAGCGGAAACGAAAGACCGCTCCCCTCCCCACTGAAAAAGATTAAAAGACAAAAGGACTTAGCGACGAAAAGAGTTCACACATGCCTTGCACGTAAAATATCCAGAAAGGAAAATGGCCGCCCTCTGTGTCATAATATTTAAAGACAGTAAGGTCACGCGAGACTTTACGAGATATACGAAGTAGAGTCTCTATAACGCGAAACCAAATTACTGTGGACACTTTCTATTTCTTAGTCTTGTCTCGTGACTGCTGAATGGTTTGAGCTGTTGTTGCTGGTTCGACTAGAAGTTAGTTCTAAGCTGTTGTCATTATAATGTGAATTGTTCTGAATTGCTCTTGAATTATTTCCTTTGGTGTTACCAAATAACCTGTTTGCCACTGACGATTGGTCATTTGTCAACACATTCAACTTCAAAATACATGAGTGTGTTATCGTCTGTTTTATCTTTCATTTGCTTCTTTATTTGTTTCTTTCTTTCCCCTTCTTTTCTTTAAAACCAAACGTCGACTTTCATATATCTTTTTTCCTGTTTAGTGGGCACGTGACAGGCAAGATATTGCAGGTATATCCTTGCAATCAAGCAGGAACGGTTCATTGTTTATCTGAGGCATTGGCAGGACGTAACGTACGTGTCAATGAATGAAGGAACAGACAATATTATATGTTAGTTCAAATATATATGGGGGAAAAGACATCAGTTTAAACTGAAATCATGAGAATATTGAATGCAATATGCGATTATGATGAGAAATAAACGCGGAATAGCGAAAGGTGCCTTTTCAGAAACTAAGCACAGTATTAAGATTAAGGAAAGTATCCTTAGAAACAAAGAAAAGAGTTTTAAACTGCTATATGATATCTAATAGCTGATATACAGGGTGCGATGGACAAATTGGCGTCTAAATTACGCAAAAATGAAGATAACACTGACATTTAACGAAATTACACAAAAATATCTTGAAATACTAAAGACTAAATTTATTCAATAAAATCCCCATTACCTTGAACCACGTCCTCCAGACGGCTTCGGAATCTCCTGTATCTCTTCTGGACGGTCTCCTTACTTAAGTTGGTGAATGCTGGCATAATTATAGCCTTTTCTTCATCTTTGATGTTCCAAGGGGTTTTGTTGGTCTCTCGCTCAACTGCGCCACACACGAAATAAGCAAGAGGGTTGCAGTTTGGGGGAGTTAGGTGGCTAGATGTAAGAGGTGATGTCGCAGCAATTGTCTGACAGCCATGGCTGGATTTTCCTGCTTGTATGTCACGGTGCAGAGTCCTGTTGCTAGACATAGAGGCTTCCAGCAGTTACCCTTTTCAACCAGGCTAGCACTACCTCCTCAAGGCATTTAATTTCGGCCTTCGTCTTGAGTTTGAGGTGCTGTAGGAAGATGCATGTAGGCATAACGTCGCCGTCACTAGCGATCACTCCAAACACCATAATGTTGACTGGATATATTCAATATTTTTGATACATTTTGGATTTCATTATAAAAGAAATATCTCATATTAGTTTAAAAGTTTTCATCGCTTTTCTTGCAATTTTCAACTACTTATTTATGTGAATTAGTCCCCTCAACCCGAAATAACATCTAAAAAGCTGATCAGATCCAGGGTGGTAAAGATTTATGCTCAGTGTTTATTCTCGAAGCCATTCTCATAGTTTGGTATGACAGTAAGATAACGAACGTTTGAAATCAGAATTTTCCTTCTTTTATAATGAATAAGTATTAAACTCTTTTTCAAATAATTCTTTTCAATATTATTGATACATTTTGGATTTCATTATAAAAGAAATATCTGATATTAGCTTAAAAGTTTTCATCGGTTTTCTTGCAATTTTCAACTACATATTTATGTGAATTAGGCTTCTCAACCCTAAATAACATCAAGAATAAGAAGCGAGAAAGACTACGCTCAACTGAAGAAGAAATGCTTATCGCACATTTGACCAAACATGGAAGAAATCGTGAAAAATGACTTGCTGAAGGAATGACAAAAAAAAAAAAACACCAGGCATAGGTTTCACATTAGCTGCAAAAATAGTAGAATAGAAACATTGAAATAAAGGAAGTTCATATTTGTTTGTGTATATTTTTAATCTATGTTTTTATTTCATAACATTTGAATATATACCCTTTAAAATTTTTTCTAAGAGTGTTGTGATATCTTCATTTGCTCCTAGGTGTGCCGTTGTTTAAAAAGGTTAAGAAACACTGATCTACGGTAAGAACGAATCTTCTATAGGTTATATAGCTTTTATTACAGTATATTGTTATAATAGCTCTTATTTTATATTGCTTTATATTGTTATATTGTAATAATCACTGTGTGGATTGAAACAAGTGTGCTTACTTGTTTCTACTCTCTTCCCCATATACTTGGCGGCAATGCTTCAAGAGATAACGCTGCAACGTAGCTCGCCTCCTGTTCAGGACTCGAAAAACAAACGCACGAGTCACAGAGCTCCAATACGCCGACGACAACTGCCCTTTAGCGCAGGAACTCTGAGACCTCCATAACTCAGCTGACAACTTCTCCAGAGCGTTTATGCGCTACGGACTCACTATCAACGTGGCAAAGACCAAAGTCCTGCTCCAATCACGACCGGGACTTCAATCACCACCACCGCCGGGAGTCAAAATCACCATCAACGGACTGGGCCTGGAGAATGTTGAACAATTTCTATATCTTGGTAGTGTACTAACATCAAATAACTCCACTGAAAAATACGTCGATAACCGAATCAAGGCCGTCCAGGGGAAGTTATTCAAAAGAGTCTTCGGCAATCCTGGGCTAACACATACCACCAAACTTATTGTCTACCGAGCTGTTTTAATCTCAGCTAAACTGTATACCTGTGAGACTTAGGTACTCTAACGAAGAGACATCCGCAAATTTTCAAGATTCCATAAAATGAAACTTCGGCAAATCCTGTGGAACACATGGGATCACGAACAACCTTGATCCCCCTCCACGCAAAGACGGAGAGCCTAGAAAATATCATGACTTGCTACAGACTTTGATGCGTCGGACACCTTGCCCAAATGCTAGATACCCACCTACCCAAACAAAACCTCTTCTCCGAGCTTGCGTCTGGCAAGAGACGACGTGGAGCCCGGTTGTTGACGTTTCCAAGAATCAGCACAAAAACACCTTGCCGAGGACAGAAATCGATCCGGTCAATTGGGAGACGGAAGCTGCAGAAAGGACCAATTGGAGAAGGGCAGTCCATGACAAAATACCCTTTGAAAACACCGGAAGACAAATGGAAGAAACGAAGGGAAGCAAAAGAAAAGCCAAAGATCTCTATCATCCGAACACCCCCCCCACCAACTCTACCATGCAGTAGATGCTGACGTCACCTCAGATCCAACATAGAACTCATTTCACGCAGAAAGAAATGTCGATGAACCCCAATACTGGACAACGATTTTCGCCAGCGACGACGACGACTGCTAAAGTTGTTCTATTTCATTACTAGAAGGCTTTGTCCGTTCGCTATCGCTTTACAAAATAAGATATATTCACTACTTGAAATCTTTGAAACAAAAATGAATATTTCATTCATAAATTGGTTTGTTATAGTTAAGGAAAGATTTGGAAGTAGATACTACCTTGTTGAAGGTCAAGTAAAATGCAAATTTCAAACACTTTTCTGCACTATATAAGACGATATTCCTAAACAGAACTATTTTCGATATGAAAATGAAAACAATCCTCTAATAAAAGAGCATTAATGAATAACAATTAATTAATAAAATAAACTTTTTTAAAAGTCAATATGCAAATTAGTTAAACCTGAAAAGTGATAGTGCCTAGAAGTAGATAATATTTAATATAGATATTGAGCTTTTGGCGGGTAAATTGCTATAAAGTAGAGCTGACGCTTTATGATCTCAGAATTCTATAGAGAATTGAGCCGCGTTTATTCATATGCATTCCGTAATATAGTTTTTACTTAATTAGTTATTATGTTTCTCTAACT